TAAAGCAGGATGAGGAATCTCTGGGCCATGGTGTACATCTGGTCAAGTGTTTCTTTTGTTATTTACAAGAAGTCATACATCAAAAGCAAAGTGCCTGCACTATGGAAGATGGAATCAAGAATGGTGGATACCGTTTACTTGTGTCAATTTCAATTTATTTCATGGCAAACTGGGATTCTTTGGGAAAAAGTGGTGGGGCACCAAATACTTTTGGCCATGTCTGTGGATGATTGTCCCTTCCTCTGCACAACATTTCTCTTCTTGGTTTTGAAGCCCAACCATTCCATTTCTTAAAAACAAACAATATTCAGATTTTTTTAAAAAAATCCAAACCATGCATACTCAGAGAGGATGCTCAATCAAGCTATTTTTCTTTTCCTGTTCCCTTAGCCTACTTTTTTTTTTTTTTGGTGGACTTCCATAAACATTGGGATTATTCCAAACCTACGGCTCCCTCTCTCTTGTGCTTGGATGAGAAAAATCGGGCTAGGTCAGAAACAATGCTAAGAGAATTTTCTTCTAACACCCAAACTTGTGCACTTCTGCATCTTGAGGATGCGTGAGATGGGCGGTGTCTAAATTTGAAATATAAATAAATAAATAAATATCCTGAATTGTTGAATTATGTTGCCGAAATCTAGAACCCGCTCCCCTTTTGCTTCCAGACTGGTAAGTCCTCAATGGTCAGACGGGGCTCGTAGAGAGAATGTTTTCAGCCAGCAATAACACTCCAATCACTCTAAAAAGCATATGCATTATTATCCTCTCTTAAAATGCTTCCTTCCATCCCGCTCAGTGGGAGGTATAAGTAAGCCTAGGGCTGAATCAGTACCACAAGTAAATGCTGATGCTCAAAAAGCAGTGAGAACGGACTGTGCTGCTTGCAGTTTTACGGCTGCCTTATTTCCGTACTTGTGTTCCAGCTCTGTAAAAATCAAGAAACTTCGCATGTTCAGCTCCTAAACCTCTTATAAAGACCTCTGTGAAATGCCTCTGTTGTAAACACAAACAGCTCAAAGTCTTTCTGGTGTTTCCTATTGCAGAGGCTTTTTAGAGGCGGCTAAATCCCAGCTACAAATGGGCTTAGCTATTATTCACAAATTTAAATCTGCAGAAGGGAAATCCGTTTCAGCTTCAGAGGATAGGTTGTGAGTCGAGTCCTTGAAACTGGGTCCCGTCCTTTTAACTCAGCCAGCCCCCTCCCCGGCCTTGCCAAATTCATTATTTCTACATAACTTTGGGAGGGACAGCGGTAGAGACCACCGAGAAAAGAAAGGAGTCGCTTTCAGAAGTATCTGTTATTTTATGGGAACAGTTCATCCTCAGATCTTCCCACTAATTAAGGTGGTTGGGTTGGACTTCTTTTTAGTGCTGCCTGCTTAAAAGAAGCAAAGGCGGAGTTCAAACTCTGATAGGACCTAAGACGCGTCCCTCTGCCCCTCACAAGGAGAGGAGGCTTCAAGCAGCCGCAAACCTCCATGGGTGGGTGGGGGGGCTTCCAGACAAGGCTTTCGTTGCGCAACTGCCCCCCGCCCCCCAAGATGGCTGGGGAGGGGGAGATGGCCCCGTCCAGCCTCAGACATTGCCATGATGGTTAGGCTGCCTAACCAAACTGGCATGGTTTGCATCTAACACTAAATTATAATCCAGGATGCGTATGGCTTGCCCTTCCATGCTTTCCCTCTGCTTCCTTTGTCTTTTTCGCCACCCAACTCCCAGACTTAAAGCAGATGGCACAATTTTTTTTTAAAAAAAAATCAGTATTGTATGAGTTGACCAGAAGCGCAAAAACGCTTCAGAAATCATGCCCTGTTAAATCTGCAAATTTTATGGGGAAGTAAACTCTGTCTAGGTGATTTCACAGTAGAAATATATGCTGACCTTGTATTATGTCAGTTCTGTTTTTCTTTTCTTTTCTTTTTTCTTTCAAAATTTCAGAGTTCAGTTTACTTCCGTAACCCAACACTGGAAGACAGGCGCCTTAAAGTATCTAAGACGTAATTTCTGCTCAGATCATTTTCTAGGTGTCGAGTAAGTTTTACTGAGCTGGAAAGTGAGATGAAATCTGAGGGAGCTAAGCCTTTATCTGTCACCAGGACCAATCTTTCTCTTTGCTCAGACTCCATTAAATTAACCTCAGCAAGTCCAAACCAAGTCCATACTTCACCAAAATAAGATTAGCTTGAAACTGAATAGCTTTTTTTTTTTTTGGTAATAAGCAACTTTAGCGTATTGCTTCATACCTGATTTCCAAGGAATAACAGACAAAAAATATGGCTAAGTCCCATATAAGCAACCCCAGAACTCCTGGATCTAATTCGTCAACAACATTTAATTACAGTAAAACAACTCAGTTCCATTTCTCATTTTATGACAACTTGTTATAAAGAACAAGAAATGATATCTTTTTTAAAAAAGAAGAATCTGCCAGATCATGAAATGTCATTTTGAAATACAAAATATCCTAAGGAGGAACTTCAGGCCTCTTATCTTTTAAGAATTAGTGAGCTATTTACAGATCCTTCCATTCTTCACTCTTTTATCATTTGCATTTGGGTTCTGATTTTAATTCAATTGTTTTATTATGTTTAGGTGGTAGCTTTGTAAATATCATTATGATGGAGGCTGCACTGTAGAACAAACCAAGACCGACCTCTAAAGAAACACACATGCTAACACATGTGTCAACACAGGATGCCTCGCATGTACACTTCAGCCAAAATTGAGATACCTGTGGCATGACAGATCCCAGAGCTGCGTCCTTGTACAGTTTGTGGGGTGACGCAGGGTGAGGAACAACTATGAACCTGAGAACCTGTTCCCAGCAATGTCCCCCAATCTCTCAGGGATTGTCCTGCAGATTGACCCAGCCATTCTGCCAAGACCCTCGTCCCCACTTACAATGGTAAGATGCCTTGCCAGTATAATCACAAAAGGGTTCATGGCTCAAACCACCATTCTGAGGAAACTGGGGGCAATGAGACAAGAAAACCAGAGACATTTAAGCATCTTTGAATCGTACTCCGTGGCATCTCTGACATTGCCCACTGGTGATGAAGGAGCTCTTGGAGCGGGCCCAGGAATGCAACACCTGACCTCTTAAAAGGCTGCTCTCATGACTGTCCTTGGGACATTTTGCAGATAAAGTCACTTATATCTGTCCTGGTTTAGACACCAATGCTTTGAGAGATACGAATGGGAACACACGTCTTCTAGTCCTGTTCTTAGACGTATCTTTCAACTTGCATAGCCTGAAGATGAGCACGATGCTTGGACAATTGAGATAAACTGCTTACATAAGTGGTCTAAATTTTATCTTTGGAATGGGAACAGTATTGATTAGTGTAGGGAACAGCTTACACTACAGGAGAGACTTAGTGGTTTTCTTATACTTTCAGTGTCATGAAACCTGATCTTCCTGGATTATATACCTAGGTTGGGCTTAGGAGAATATCAGTCTTTCCTAGATAAATGGCTGAAAAAAGTGTTAGTGGATGTCTTTTTCCATCTCATGACCTGCGAACATCCATGGGGCCCCATCTTGTCTCTTTCAACATTAAAACTGAAGGGGGAATTAATTCAGAGGTTCAGGCTGAAGTTGGTTCATGTGACTTCACGAACCAGCTTCATGAGTGGCTCTGTTTCCAAACCCAACCTAAAGTAGCGGATTGAATCATTAAATTTTTAAATACTTCAATGACTGCCTTCCTCCAAACACTCCCATGTTCTAGATGGCCAGCAACAGAGGCTCTTCTCATTTGCCCACTGAGTCCACTCTGTCCCAACTGGTCAAGCTTTTTGAAAAAATCTACATGCCCCTGTATGTTTTATGCTGTATATATATGGTGACTATGCTTGTTTTTACTACATTGCTTTATATGACATAAGATGCTTCAGGAAAGTGATACTTGAAAGAGGACCTAACAATATTTTAAAACCCATTAATAATGGAGGGGAGACACCATGGTCTCAGTTCTGCTATTCTGCACACAAGGAAGGTAATTCTCCATTTCTACCCAGGTATGTTCAACAGCTCTGTCTTAGACTGATCTGCTCTTATAGGAACAGTTCTTCAAGACACTGAGATTGAGAACTTTCCCAGATCTGTTACCAAAGATCCTTTCAACTGGGAATGTTGGAAAGGAACCAAGATGGCTGGAACTACTTCAGTCATCTGCGTGGTAGATAGGTGCCCAAAAGTACCTGCAGAAAACTAATACTAGACTTCTCAATATAAGGCATAGACTGAGTTTCCAAAGTAAAGATACTGGTATCCACCCATGTTTATAAACCGGACACTATTATCCTTCATAAGTACACAACATCCTCAATGCTAGAACTGTAATTCTTCCAAAATGATGCAAACTAAAAATGAGAGCTTTGCTAAATCACAGCATACTGACTTTAATCAAAGAAGGCTCAGTCATGTCTGGCAAAAAGTAGTTTCTTGGTACAGATCCATTATGGTCTGTGCATTTATTAGGTACTTTCTGCATCCAAAACAGTTCCTGGTAATCCCTAGAGGTGCCTGTTCTGTATGTCAGAATTATCTCCATGGATATATCAAGGTTCATATGCCAACATACCGGAACAGATGTTTCAATACGATCACTTACAAAGATCTATGAGGGAATATCTGGAATCTTTTCCATCATCCTTTACATTTTCAGCCACTAAGCTCTCCTTAAAAGAAAAAACCCTAAGATGATAGGTTCTAGAATGAGTAAGATTTCTTATATAAGACAACATTCAAGCAATTTTGAAGATTCATCTTCACGCAAAACAAGTTGGGTGAGCCAAAGATTTAGATAAGATTGTAAGACTTTCCAGAAAGATTGAGGGTTCACATATGCATTATTTGGTGACATTTTGCTTTGGCTGATGTTTAAAGAAAAAGCATGTTTTGTAAGGTAAGATCAGTGCTTCACTTTCTTTGCAATTAAGAAACTGTTTACAAGATTAAAAAAATGTTCGTATGAAAGTAAAAACTGGATACTTACACAGTAAAATGATAAATGAAGCATTTCCATCCACTAGGCCTCTCCAGGAAGTTGTACACATCTCCTTGCATGCTAGTTTTTGTTAAATATGGGCCATAAAAGCATTTAGGAGTGTAGGGTTGGTGAGCCTCATTCCGTTCTATAGATTCACTATTTACTTGGAAAGCAGAATCCTGTGAATTGTCCTCTTCAGGATTTGGAAGGATCTTTGATCCATTTGTCACCAATGAATCTGGATCAAGAGCTACAGAAGAATACTGCATATTGTTTAAGTCTGTTTGCATTTCTAGCCAGTTTGAGGCCTTTCTGGGGCCATTTAGATTTCCCACTTGAGAACTGGAACGCTGAACTCTACTGCACAGGTTATACCTTGGGTGCCCACCAGTTTCACCATTAACATAGGACATTCTGCAATGAAGTCAGACCAGTCGCCTGGATCAATATTTAAGGCAATAAGAAGCATTGTGGAGCCCTGCTGCTCCTGGAGGTCTCCAACCAAGCATTCTCATCACATTCTTCTGCAGCACCAATAGATCTGTCACCTGTTGTCAGGAGGCTGGAAGTAAAACAGAAGAAGATATTTAGGTAACGGAAGGTGAAAGCAATGGATGGTAGGGCAAGATGACAGCTTCAGAAAGGGAGAGCGTTGATGAAAAGCAACTTTTGACATGAGTTGTGATCTGTACATTATCTGCCCAGCTTTCATAATAAATTGATATACTGCTTAATGCCTAGAGTGGCCCAACAAAGTATATTAGATAGAATATCCAATAGGATTTAATTCCCAATGGACCGAAGGGCTCAGTCAGAGATCATGTTCCACATAGTTCCTTGTTCAGCTAGACAGCTAGAAGGCTGAAGTGCAAATTTAATGCAGCAAACGAGCCTCAGACCTGGACACAGCCGTTCCTTCTCTGTGTACCTGCAGTGATACCCTGGGCTTTGCTGCAGGGTAACCTGCAAACAGCCTTAACACTGAAAAAGCAACTCAGACCTCTTTCAAGGACACGACGACGTCATTTTACAGTTTACATGAGCGCTTTAGGCTGCTGCATCTAGGGCTCAGATCTACCTAGTGACAGTTGTGAAAAAAATTAAACCATAAAATGTTTCATTTAAAAGTATCTAATATTTTAAATATGTACATAAATATAACTAGGTATGCCTAAATATACAAAAGATATTCTGGACATCTGTTCCCTGAATTAATTATTGCAAAGGTATATAGTTTATCTATCTGTCTTTGTATAAAACAATTGACATTATGAAATGGTAGCAGCTTCTGATGACTTGCAATTCATTTTGTTAGCAAGGTTCTTCTATATCCAATTCAGTTAGGATAGGAAACGTTTCCCCACATCCACAGATCTAATAGGATCTATTAATCTTGCACAGATCATTAAAAAACTTAAATAGATATCAAACACCTTCCCCAACAGACCCATTTTATTCACCTGTCCCCAAAGCTGCAAGATTTTCTTTCTTTCTTTCTTTGGGAAATTATTTTGCCTTATATATTCCAATCCCATTAATATTTAACCTTATTATAATGCAAAATATACATTTTATCTCAAAACACGACTAGAATGAGTGCCTATCCGATCTTTGCTGAGTGAATAACTTTGACTTAAATCTTACAATCTCTCCTTTCTTCACCTGGGATGGGATGATTTCAAGACAAAATTTCAGACTGGAATCCCTTGTCAAAACAGGCTTATGCCCAGATTTTGTTCTGCGTTAAACAGAATTATTTTTAGAAGTTTCGAACTGTTCCGTCTTTGCAACTCAACTTACACTTGTTGTCACGCATTCTCACGGCACATGCTAGATAGGTCCAGCTGCCTTTGTAAGGTCAAGATTTCCTCTTCGGGGGGAGCACAGGGCAGCTGATTTTTCTGCCTTAGCATTTATCGCGTCAGGAGGATGAATTTATAAGGGAGCAAACCGAACTTTGCTCACCTTACTCCCAAACCCTGATAATATGACCTTGCGGGCAGCGGTTCCACTCCCAGAAAAAGCCACTGCAAATTCATCCTCCTGACGTGGAGGCAGACAAAGCCCCAAACCATCTGGGAACCAGAACATACCTTCTCCTGTTGCATGTTGCTTTTTCCTCTCTGCTCCATCTGGCATCACCCAAGGCTTTCTGGCTTTGTCCCCCGGCTGAGAGAGTCCCACCCTCACCCATCCAGAGGACCTCCCCTGCGTTTCCCTTGCTGGATTTTGCTCGGCTCAAAACCTGCTGGGCGTCTGCCTGTGCAAATGTGGCTTTATCTCTGAGCTCCCGCTAGCGCCTCTTTTAACCCGGCAATTTGGGCACCGTCTTCTTGCTTCCTCTGAAGACAGATGTGGCGCCTGGCTGGTGTCATCTGGAAAAGCGCTGAGAGTTAAACGAGAGAGTTACTGAGACGCAGGCAGGACTTGGGCAAGGGTTGTGCCTGAACTTCGGCAACCGGTTGCAATGAGGGCAACGTCTGTTCTGGAGCCTTTGTGCTGAGAATAAGAACAGCCCCAGGGTACAAGCGTACGTGGAACTGTTTTTGTCCTGGGCTGGCAGTGCGCGGTTGCTTGCACATGCTCTGCCCTCGGGTGGAAAACGAAAGAATGCGGAGCGTTTTCTTTCCTGAAATGCTAGCAGCCCTGTGTTTTCAGGCGCACTCCTTTCTGGCGCGGGGGCTCCGTCGCTTTCTGTTGCAGGAGGGGTTCAAGTCGTGAAGCATCACTTTCCATTTTAACATTGCTTGAAAGCATCTGCTTAACACAGAAATTATGAACGGAGTTGCTTTCCTAAGCTTTGAATGGTTAGAATTTTAACTGATTACCCATCATTTCGTGGCGAGATTGATGAAACAGTTGGTTATATGCTGCACCGCATATTATGTTAGAACAAAGGGAATTTGCAAGTGGTAAAATCAAATAGATCTCTGAAATGCGCATTGCTTCTCTGTCCTACAAGTGCTGGGATCCCCAATTCCCCTCCTGTTCGGGAAGATGCCTTCCGAATGCCTTCCACTTGGCTGGGGAAAAGAAAGAGCAGAATCTTTGTGGGGCTTCAGTCAGCGCTCTGGTTTTATAATCCCTAACTTCTGGACCAGCTAAACTCCTCCTTCAGAAGCTGTTCCACCTGGCTTGGTCCTTGGTGGAGGGCTTGGGGTAAAAACGTACTTTACTGATCAACTGCAACTGCCTAGTAATGTGATAGTAACGGAGCCTACCACGTTAGCTGCTATTCCCAGGGTAGCAGAACACAGAACATTTGGATGGGGAATCTGTTCTCCAGAACCAAAATTTAACCAGCTAAGAAGGAAGAAATGTGACAACCAACTCTCCGTATGCACACACTCTTAAAACAGAAGGTTGCGCAACATGTGTAAGAGCTGAGGCACTAAACCAGAACGATCATTAACCCAAAAAAGCGGTCATGACCAGAATTAGGAATTACTGCATTTCAGAACTCTATTTCAGAAACGTCATTGAGGCCAAGTTACCTTAATCACTGGCCAGAGAAGCTTTGGGGTTGTCTTCCTTGAAAAGTGATCACAAAGCCCATGCTAAAATCCTTCTGAACATTTCCAAAAACTGTTTGGGGAAAGACCTGGGGACCTACTGGTCAAGTTACGCAAAGAAATCCAGGATTTGATGAAAAAAACCTGAATGCTTGGGCACACCCGCGGCGGCCGAAAAATGCATGTTGCAGGAAATATACCCGGGAAAACACACCCGACAACGTTCTAGAGCCCGAGAGACCGTATCCGGCACCCCCAATATTAAAACCACAGAACGGTGGGTGGATGGAGGCCCACACTTTTTTCCTTTTTTTCAGGAGCAACGGTTTTGCACTCTGCACTTCAGCTGTTAGGCATGCACGGAAAATGTGTCTGAGCTCCAACTGCTGCAGCTGTGCAAGGAATAGCCGCGTAGGCGGGAGCAAGAGAGGGCTACGGACTGCACGTCGCCCGTCAGTTCTGGCCATTCCGTTCCAGCAGCAAGCCAAACGGAGCAGGCCTTTTGGTACGCGGGGAGGGGATATAACTGATTTGCACACGTGTATTTGTGTGGGCAGCCATTTCCGCTTCTGTGCTCCCTATGCAAAGGAGAGGAGCACCGCCAAGGCGACAGTCAGCAGCTCTGGAAGTCCATCTGCCCATTCCAGAGCAAAGAGAAACATCTCCCGTTTTATCTGCTCTGCAGGGAGCTTTTCTTCTCCCGGCTGTTCCAAACAATGAGCCTTCAACATGTTTTATTCCACTCAGGACATTCTGGTTTCCCAGACAAATTAGATGTAATTTGAAAGAACCCCCAAATATCTGGATATCCTCCTGAAAACTTTCTTAAGGAAAAGCATTTAACAACATCTGGAAGAAAGCACACCATCACTCCAGAGCATGACCCTCACTCAGAATGCATATGTAATCCCTGGAGTACATTCTTGATTAAGTACATTTAAGGTCGTAGTTAATCTACTTGCTTGAGTCAAGAGACAGCTGCATTTTTATCCTTTTAATTGTTTCATTTCAAGGTCACAGTCTTACCAAAGTTGCTTTTATAATAAATACAATATAATATTACATGTTCATAAAATCATAAAACAGATCATAAAAAAAAGAATCTATAAAACTAAATCCAAATCAAAACAGAATAAAAGTGGACATGATAATATTTCAGTTAAAAGACTAAGGAAATAAATATAAGTTTTAAAAAACTACAGATAGACCAGCTGTAACTGGAACGGAATTGCTTAGGACAAGGTGATGGCCGAAGGAAGACTCTGTTTTATTTTATGTATTTATATTTCAAATTTCTCACCGCCCATCTCACTGCAGAGTGACTCTAAACCACCGGATGCCTCCACTATCACTGATGAACCTCATACACCACGGATGAAGGAGGCTGTAGACAGTTCTTAAATCCATTTCAGTCTAGGAAGCACTTTGAGTTGTCCATGGAAACATCCCACCCGTCAGCACAGCCAAGACAGAACCACAATGAGAAGTGGCTACATGCTACACCAGAGAGCTTCCGAGTTGGGTTTAAAGGCAGACCCGCAAAGATTGTGACAGAAGTCAATTGTGGAATAACTAATGCATAACACCCCCCCCCCCATGTTTCAACAAGAATGTTTACAGGGGCAATATAGCACAGTATATACTCAGGGCAGATCTAGCAGAGTACCTTCCAACTAGGATCAGATGACGCAAAGGGAGATTCCACGTAAATACTTGTTTCATCAGGATTTGAGATGGCTCCCTTGAATCCAGTTCAACTCCTGATGACTTCATGAAAACATCCATGCAGCTCTCTTGGAAACAGTATGGAAGTGGTTGATGATGGTCCCCATTTGGGATGGTTTTCATTTCCTACAGTCTTCATATTTCCTAGAAAACTCCCATGACACCATGATTTTGATGCTGGCTGATCACACATCCTCATAGCTGTGTGAACTCAGAGTGAGGGTTGCAAGATTGAGACAAACCCTGTGTTGCAGCTTTGTGCTCCACTCTGCTGTGAAGGCTTGGGTACAGAAGACAGTCTGGCTTTTCATAGGACACAGTGCTCCTAGAGAAAAATACGGAGTTGGCATCAAAGAAATGGTCTTAAAAACTTCCAGGAGGCCATGTTAAGATCAGAGAGGATTCTGGGAAGGAGAAGAAGAGTAGTGAAGGAGCTGGCTGGTAGCTAAAGGTGGCTCTAGTGGCAGCTGAAGATGGACTGTAGTCTGTTGAAGGCTGGTTAGGTTTGGTTTAGTCAAATGGACTAAACAGTTGACACTACTCTGAAAGAATCTAAATTGGGGAAGCGCAACGTACATGATAACTGGGACTCTACTTTCACAGAATTACCCTGATACTAATCTCATCTTCAAAACTCAGTATTTTATGGATCCCTTCCATCTAACTTTTACAATTCTACTGTAATTATTTCAAACGCAGTGATGTTGATCCACCCTCATAGTAACCAAGTTAGAAGTCGATAATATCTGAGTATTTTCTGGTTGTGTTACTTGCTACTACCACCAGACTTACAAAATGGGATGTAAATTTAAAGCTGATCCTCCGATTAAGGAGTTTCTAAAGCCGACGTAATACTTTCATCATTCTGTCAGTCGAAATGCCTCAAAATAAATAAATAAATAACTAAATACACTGGTGTACTGAAGACACTGTACACTTGTTCCCCATTGAACCAGATAAAAGAAGATAAGAATTACTGCTCGCAATATTAGGTGTATTCTTATTGAAGAGCTATCCAGTGTCAATGGTAGGAAAGGTTTCAAATAATGAGACAATATAAATTCTTGTATGCTGGGCTTCAACTGTTACTTGATTCCGCCTTCCAATTATACTGAGTGCCCTTGTATGGTCTTGGTAGGTTAGTTTCAGTCATTACTAATGCGCTGGAAAAGAGACGCACAGACCCTGCTCCCCATAACCTTTGATGATATGAAGGTTGCAAACTCTCATCATGAATTATACAGGGGAATTGAAAGAAAAGGTACTTTTTTTTACGAGCCTATTCAACAGCCACTTTTTTTAATCTCCTGCTACAAGTATCTCACACTCCAATTAAAGGAAACATATTTATTATTTATTCATATAAAAGGCTGATAAATCACCCTGCAGGATACAACTTCCCAAGGAAGTACACAACAAAAATAAATCCATAAAAATACACTGAAATTTCCTTTTTAACAAGTTGCATCCTGCCATTCTTTCAGACATTTTAGAGATTAACTCTCTTCGCTGTAATTTATAAAGCCTCTGAAAGTTGGGTGAGACTGAACAGAGGGACAGAGATCCTCCCTTTCATAAAAAATATTCCTTAGCAGGTAATGAGTTCAAGCTACCTTCATTCAGATCTATTACGTTTTTGTCTATGTTAATACACTGGACATACCTCTGAGTCCAGGGGATGTGGGCAACCTTAGGTTAGCTTGCAAGGTACACTCTTGATTAACAATCCTATCTTAAGTCCTAGCATGAACATGCTTGGACTGGGCTTTGTTTGTACTTGTGTACCAAAACTGGCAAGTGACGTTGTTGGAATCCATCTCATCTAAGTTGTCTGTGAAATTAGGAATCCATAGAATGGCGAGAGTTGCATGAAACCATCCAGAGAATGGGATAGTGAAAGAACTAACCAGAAATTGTGGGGAAAACTTTGTAAGGTTCTGAATAAATGCGATTCCAAGGAAAACTGTGTGTGACATGAATTTTTGGGTGCAAACAAGAGGAGATAGCACAGAAAAATAATTGGTTTGCTTGGAGACCCAAGCATAAATGAAAATGAAATGGTAGTTGGTGAGTATGTGATTTGAAGAAGGGTTTTAATATACGCTTACACATATATCTACTCGTATGTGCACAATGGAAGGGGAAAAGTATTAGGAGATGGATTAATCTCCCAACAGGATGAAAAGAAAGGCGTGTGAAGGAAGAAGCTGTGGAAACTGCTTGGGAGGGATTGGAAAGATTTATAAGACCAAAGTTAGGGATAGATTTATTAGACCAAAGTTATTAAGCTAATGGGAAGAATGAAAAAAGGATGCTTAGTGGAGAGTCACATATGTGAGAAGTGTGGCTCAGAGTAAGTAAGTAAGTGAAGGAGGCTGTGGATGAGGAAAGCATGTGAGAAGAAGAACCAGAACCTTCTTGCCTTAATGCGTCTGTCTGTGGAGGCTCTCTGAGCTTGGCTGTTTTCTTGCAAACATTGCACCACCCAACTAGGTAACATCTTCAGTAGCACCAGATGTTACCTGGTTGGGTAATGAAACATTCACAAGGAAACAGCCAAGCTCAGAGAGCCCCAAGGATGCCACCGTTCAACCTCGAGCTACACATATTTGCCTCTATTGATTTGGGATGAAACTGATTGGAAGAATGCAGGAAGGAGCATTGGAAAAATTTCATGGTGTGTGGAAGAGTGGAATTAAAATGCATGCTATAAATGTTGGTGTCTAAGAAAAACGGATGAAAAGGAAGTCATAAATGCTGTGAAAAGGTTAAAAAAACGAATAGTAGGTCCGCAGGCGCAGATGTTAATGGAGATACGCTGCTTACAAAGTGGCTTTACAAGTTGTTGTTAATGTGCGTGGGAAGGTTGTGTCAGTGCCTGACAATTATAAAAACGGAGCTATTGTTCCCCTACACGAGTGTGTCTCAACCCTGGCAATTCTAAGGTGCGTGGACTTATTCCGGGAGTCGAGGTCCACCCATCTGCAAGGGGCGAAGTCGAGGAATAGAGCTTAAAAAGGCAGCGTCTCTCGCCTTCCGGTGCAATGCCCGCAGCGGCCACTGGGGGGCGGCAAGGACGGGCGCATCCCTGGCGCAGCGTTAGCCCACCTGGGAGGCTCCAGGCAGCGTGGACTTCAACTCCCAGAATTCCCCGGGCAGGAGGGCGGGC